GAGATCCTGGACTTCATGCACAGAAGCACACAAAGCACTCAAACTACAGAGACTTGCTGAAACCACTCGAGCTGTAGTCCCTGTAATGGAGCCGAGACTGATATTTCATAGTGTACACAGAGAAGCAACTGGAAGTTCTGGTCCTTGACCTGCACGAAGTCTAACATACAGGAGTGAGAGATATGGAAGGAAGTGCAAAATAAATCCTATGAAGAGTCATGTTGCAATAAACACAATTTGAGACTACAGAGGGAACAGCAGAGGCCTATGACTCTCCAGTCTCGTGTCAACATGTGTCAGAACAATCGCTGCAACACCGCTGCAAGCTTGCAAGAGCAACTGGACAAGTTTACTTTTGAAACTTGAAATTTTTACTTTTGAAGTTTCCTTTTGAAACTGGACAAATTCATGTTGGATTTACAGGATTCACCTGTGATTACAATGTTGGGCTACGGCCTACTGAGATAACTACAGGGTAGGCCTGGCGGTGGGCAGAACCCCACTCACCACACCAGGGTGGTGTAGCAACACTCACCCCCAGGGTGGTGTAGCAACACTCACGCCCCCCCCCCCTTTGGGCGGCGGATGCAATACCCCCCTCCCCCCTTAGCGACTGTTGCAACACCCCCCTCCCCCCCTTAGCGGCTGTTGCATCACCCCCCTCCCCTCCTTAGCGACTTTGCAACACCCCCTCCCCCTTTAGCGACTGTTGCAACACCCCCTCCCCCCTTTTAGCGACTGTTGCAACACCCCCTCCCCCAGCAGGTGTTGCAACACCCCCTCCCCCCCCTTAGCGGCGTTGCAACACCCCCTCCCCCCTTAGCGGGTGTTGCAACACCCCCTCCCCCCAGCAGGTGTTGCAACACCCCCTCCCCCCTTAGCGGCTGTTGCATCACCCCCTCCCCCCTTAGCGGGTGTTGCAACACCCCCTCCCCCCAGCAGGTGTTGCAACACCCCCTCCCCCCAGCAGGTGTTGCAACACCCCCTCCCCCCGCAGGTGTTGCACACCCCCCTCCCCCCAGCAGGTGTTGCAACACCCCCTCCCCCCCAGCGGGTGTTGCAACACCCCTCCCCCCCAGCGGGTATTGCAACACCCCCTCTCCCCCCAGCGGGTGTTGCACACCCCCCCCAGCACCAAAGGACATTCTCAATACCAGCAAATTACTTTACCTTGCCACTACCTGCATCGTGTTCAAGAGTGCTCCGATAAAGCCTTAATTAGCCTTACCTGGCGGCTCCACACGTCTTGGATTTATAACATCAATAACGTTCATTATTACTTCATTAATAACATCAATAACGTTACTTAAGGTACGTTTCTGGTCAGGCAGAACCATTGTGTTGTTTACGTTTTGGCCTATCAAGAGAACGGAGGAAGTCACGTGACCTTTCAACATCCTTCAAATGACACTTGACTTGGCGAGGGTGCCCGCAGGACCGAGGTGTTAGCTCTTGGGCCCCGGCTTTGCCACTAGTCCGTTGGTTGGGTTGTAATTACATATAACAGAACTACCCGAGATAATTTTTTTTAATACTTATGACGCATATACCTTATATGTGCGTGTCTATGTAGATTATAATATACGTACATATAGGATTCAAGTATCTTACATGAGGACAAGGAGCTGGGATTTGAGGACAAGGAGCTGGGATATGAGGACAAGGAGCTGGGATATGAGGACAAGGAGCTGGGATATGAGGACAAGGAGCTGGGATATGAGGACAAGGAGCTGGGATATGAGGACAAGGAGCTGGGATATGAGGACAAGGAGCTGGGATATGAGGACAAGGAGCTGGGATATGAGGATAAGGAGCTGGGATATGAGGACAAGGAGCTGGGATATGAGGACAAGGAGCTGGGATATGAGGACAAGGAGCTGGGATATGAGGACAAGGAGCTGGGATATGAGGACAAGGAGCTGGGATATGAGGACAAGGAGCTGGGATTTGAGGACAAGAAGCTGGAAAGGAAGATTGCCTCACCACTTGGAACCATTGGGGATCGAACCCCGACCCGCAAAAACCGAGACACCTGACCCTCACCAGGGGGAGAGTGGCCACACACCTGGCCCTCACCAGGGGGGAGAGTGGCCACACACCTGGCCCTCACCAGGGGGAGAGTGGCCACACACCTGACCCTCACCAGGGGGAGAGAGTGGCCACACACCTGAGCCTCACCAGGGGGAGAGTGGCCACACACCTGACCCTCACCAGGGGGGAGAGTGGCCACACACCTGACACCAGTGGCCACACACCTGACCCTCACCAGGGGGAGAGTGGCCACACACCTGGCCCTCACCAGGGGGAGAGTGGCCACACACCTGACCCTCACCAGGGGGAGAGTGGCCACACACCTGACCCTCACCAGGGGGGAGAGTGGCCACACACCTGACCCTCACCAAGGGGAGAGTGGCCACACACCTGACCCTCACCAGGGAGGAGAGTGGCCACACACCTGACCCTCACCAAGGGGAGAGTGGCCACACACCTGACCCTCACCAGGGAGGAGAGTGGCCACACACCTGACCCTCACCAGGGGGAGAGTGGCCACACACCTGACGCTCACCAGGGGGAGAGTGGCCACACACCTGGCCCTCACCAGGGGGAGAGTGGCCACACACCTGACGCTCACCAGGGGGAGAGTGGCCACACACCTGACCCTCACCAGGGGGGAGAGTGGCCACACACCTGACCCTCACCAGGGGGGAGAGTGGCCACACACCTGACCCTCACCAGGGGGGAGAGTGGCCACACACCTGGCCCTCACCAGGGGGAGAGTGGCCACACACCTGACCCTCACCAGGGGGAGAGTGGCCACACACCTGACCCTCACCAGGGGGGAGAGTGGCCACACACCTGACCCTCACCAAGGGGAGAGTGGCCACACACCTGACCCTCACCAGGGAGGAGAGTGGCCACACACCTGACCCTCACCAAGGGGAGAGTGGCCACACACCTGACCCTCACCAGGGAGGAGAGTGGCCACACACCTGACCCTCACCAGGGGGAGAGTGGCCACACCCCTGACGCTCACCAGGGGGAGAGTGGCCACACACCTGGCCCTCACCAGGGGGAGAGTGGCCACACACCTGACCCTCACCAGGGGGGAGAGTGGCCACACACCTGACGCTCACCAGGGGGAGAGTGGCCACACACCTGACCCTCACCAGGGGGAGAGTGGCCACACACCTGACGCTCACCAGGGGGAGAGTGGCCACACACCTGGCCCTCACCAGGGGGAGAGTGGCCACACACCTGACCCTCACCAGGGGGGAGAGTGGCCACACACCTGACGCTCACCAGGGGGAGAGTGGCCACACACCTGACCCTCACCAGGGGGAGAGTGGCCACACACCTGACGCTCACCAGGGGGAGAGTGGCCACACACCTGACGCTCACCAGGGGGAGAGTGGCCACACACCTGACCCTCACCAGGGGGAGAGTGGCCACACACCTGACCCTCACCAGGGGGGAGAGTGGCCACACACCTGACCCTCACCAGGGGGGAGAGTGGCCACACACCTGACCCTCACCAGGGGGAGAGTGGCCACACACCTGACGCTCACCAGGGGGAGAGTGGCCACACACCTGACCCTCACCAGGGGGGAGAGTGGCCACACACCTGACGCTCACCAGAGGGAGAGTGGCCACACACCTGACCCTCACCAGGGGAGAGTGGCCACACACCTGACCCTCACCAGGGGGAGAGTGGCCACACACCTGACCCTCACCAGGGGGAGAGTGGCCACACACCTGACCCTCACCAGGGGGAGAGTGGCCACACACCTGACCCTCACCAGGGGGGAGAGTGGCCACACACCTGACCCTCACCAGGGGGAGAGTGGCCACACACCTGACCCTCACCAGGGGGGAGAGTGGCCACACACCTGACCCTCACCAGGGGGAGAGTGGCCACACACCTGACCCTCACCAGGGGGAGAGTGGCCACACACCTGACGCTCACCAGGGGGAGAGTGGCCACACACCTGACGCTCACCAGGGGGAGAGTGGCCACACACCTGACGCTCACCAGGGGGAGAGTGGCCACACACCTGACGCTCACCAGGGGGAGAGTGGCCACACACCTGACGCTCACCAGGAGGAGAGTGGCCACACACCTGGCCCTCACCAGGGGGGAGAGTGGCCACACACCTGACCCTCACCAGGGGGAGAGTGGCCACACACCTGGCCCTCACCAGGGGGAAGGGTCTGGGGGAAGGCTCGTGATTACAGTCACTATTACATATTGCCAAATAAATGTTGCAATAAATTATCCATTAGCAATGTAATCATTATTATCAACACTAGTAATAATATTTCTGCAATAATTATAAATAAACGCAAGTATACTTCAGATATTAGTATGTCTATCCACTTGTACTGGAGGGTATAACGGCGGGCTAGCTTCATGCAGGGGCGTCGTTCGATCCCCCGATATTCCTAGTGGATAAGGCACCATTCCTCTATCTCACATTACCTCTTTCTCCTTATTCCCATCCTTTCCCACGTTAGAATGTCACAAGTGATTTCCCAAGCTTATTCCAGCTGTCAGAGCAACTTGAAGGGTCCGTCAGGCCAAGCGAACCCGTCCAAGAACTTCCCGAGTCTCTCAATGTTAACCCAAGTCACGAAGGGCGACTGGTGCATGCATAAACAGTCTGATTGTCGACTGGTGAGGACGGCTTCCAAGGATATCTTATTGGCACCAGGTTTTGGGCGAATTCCGTAAAGAGGTTTGTGTCTGAGTTTGGTGTCGGGGGGGGGGGGGGGAGACAGAAGATGGGGGGGGGAGACAGAAGATGGGGGGGGAGACAGAAGATGGGAGACAGAAGGGGGGGGGAGACAGAAGATGGGGGGGGGAGACAGAAGATGGGAGGGGGGAGGGAGAGAACTTTAATGTTATTTTCTTTGATGTAGAGGTTTCGTGATTTGTTGTTTAAATGCTTGAACCAAATATCATCAACCACGCCATCATCAGTTACGCCATCAACCACAACATCATCAATTACGCCATCAACCACATCATTAACCACATCAACCACGCCATCAACCACAACATCATCAACCACGCCATCAACCACAACATCATCAATTACGCCATCAACCACATCATCAACAACATCAACCACATCAACCACGCCATCAACCACAACATCATCAATTACGCCATCAACCACAACATCAACCACGCCATCAATCACATCATCAACCACGTCATCAATCACATCATCAACCACGTCATCAATCACATCATCAACCACGTCATCAATCACGTCATCATCCACGCCATCAACCACGTCATCAATCACGTCATCAACCACAACATCATCAACCACAACATCAACCACGTCATCAATCACATCATCAACCACGTCATCAATCACGTCATCAACCACGCCATCAACCACGTCATCAACCACGCCATCAACCACGTCATCAACCACGCCATCAACCACGCCATCAACTACAACATCATCAACCACAACATCAACCACGCCATCAACCACCCCATCAACCACGTCATCAACCACCCCATCCCCCATCAACCACGTCATCAACCACGCCATCAACCACAACATCAACCAGGCCATCAACCACGCCATTAACCACGCCATTAACCACCCCATCAACCACACCATCAACCACGCCATCAACCACGCCATCAACCACAACATCATCAACCACGCCATCAACCACAACATCATCAACCACGCCATCAACCACGCCATCAACCACAACATCATCAACCACGCCATCAACCATCCTGAGAGACCTAAAGTCTACTGATTGTCAGCGTTGATAACCCCAATGTTTCAACTCCACGGGACAATAGTACCGAAACCTATTTCAAAGTTGTATAATAAAATCGTTGAGAGTAGACAGGTGTGGAGGTGACTGTGGCAGCCTCGGAGACCAAGTTACCAGTAGAACAACTCCCGAGACCCTCCACAGGTATGTTCCAGGTATTAGGCCTACTGCAGTTTATGTTATTCCTATGATAACGATTAACAATATGTTAAAATCTTCGGACCACTGCCTTGGTTTCGAACCCGCGTCTTGCGTATGAGAATATTTGATCATACATGTATTTAACTGTATGTTATGTGTATGAAATTGTTCCCCTCTAGGTAGAGATTGTGCCCCTAGGGGGGTTCGAATCCCATCCTGGTCCAGGTATAATTGTAGCATCTAACTGAATGGGATTTAGGAAAGTGGGTTCGGAATTGGCGATGTGCGAAATGTGTTCGGATGAGCTGAAGTTAATTACACGTTCAAAATAGGTCTTGAAACTAATGCTGAATTAAGCCTATTGAATAAAGTATACTGCACGCTGCTTATACGGAATTGTCAACCGAAATAAAATATTTAATAGGATTTTGTAAACTGGATCAAACCATTTATATGTTATATACTGTATTTTGGGCCATGTGCAATATTATATGTCATATGCAATATTATGTTATTTAATTTTATATGTCATATGATATATGGCGTATATATTATATATCATATGCAATATTATATGACACGTGTAATATTATGACACGTGTAATATTATATGACACATGTAATATTATATGACACGTGTAATACTATATGACACGTGTAGTATATATCATATATAATGACAACTGGGGTTGCCCCATGTTATGTTGATAAAATTACTGTATTGACGTATGAAACATATTGTCTTTTACCCCCAAGGGTTGAATTTTTCCAGCACACGACACATACTGCCACATACACGATACATACTGACATACATATACACATTCGACACATACTGCCACATACACGACACATACTGCCACATACACGACACATACTGCCACATACACGACACATACTGCCACATACACGACACATACTGCCACATACACGACACATACACGACACATACTGATGACATCTCTGATGTTCTCTGGTGTTCAGTGTTCTCTGATGTTCAGTGTCCTCTGATGTTCAGTGTTCTCTGATGTTCAGTGTTCTCTGATGTTCAGTGTTCTCTGATGTTCAGTGTTCTCTGATGTTCAGTGTTCTCTGATGTTCAGTGTTCTCTGATGTTCAGTGTCCTCTGATGTTCAGTGTTCTCTGATGTTCAGTGTCCTCTGATGTTCAGTGTTCTCTGGTGTTCAGTGTTCTCTGTGTCATATCTTCCTCGCCAGTAGGTTACAAATCCGATCCTCCAGTATTTTCCATGTTAAAATAAGTGACAATTCTCTCGTCTCCCTTCCTAACTCCACTTGGTTAAGTGTCGAGTAACTTCGCCGGCTCCATTACTCAGACTTAAGTGATAAGAATCACAGAAACTCATTGTTCTGTGATTACATATCTACCCTCACTTTTAAAATACTTACAAATGCCTTTAAGTAGGATTTCTCAAGTTAGGGGCATTTGAAAACTATATATATATACAACTATTTATAAATAAAGGTTTAAATTAAAGGTGAAATTTCATACTTAAATACTTAAATCTCAAATGCGATTTAAATTTGCAGGCAGGGGGATGCATGCGGACATTTTGTAATGCAATTTGCAACAGCAAGCACGGTAAATTGTGCACATTTCTCGACACGACAGGACTGAATGACGTGCAAGACCAACAGGTTAATGGAGGTTTGCACGCGTATTGCGTAGGTCAAACCGTACACATTAGGCGCACGTTGCTTGATCTCACTGTCACAGGCTCGTGAAGATTCTGGGCATTGAGAGACTATAGCTCTTGGGCCCCGGCACTGCGGGTCTCAGATATTGACATGTCTGGCCTCGAAGACAATCCGAAAATTGTTTTATATTCGGTGGCCTTTATGCTGATGGTCTTAAACTGGGGTTACCTTGTGGGTATTTTGCAATGATTTCAGGGCTCAACATCCCCACGGCCCGGTCCTCGACTAGACCTCCTGGTTACTGGACTGGTCAACCAGGCTGTTGGACGCGTCTACTCGCTGCCTAACGTATGAATCACAGCCTGGTTGATCAGGTATCCTTTGGAGGTGTTTATCAAGTTCCCTCTTGAACACTGTGAGGGGTCGGCCAGTTATGTCCCTTATGTGTAGGGGAAGCGTGTTGAACAGTCTCGGGCCTCTGATGTTGATAGTTCTCTCTTGAACACTGTGAGGGGTCGGCCAGTTATGCCCCTTATGTGTAGGGGAAGCGTGTTGAACAGTCTCGGGCCTCTGGTGTTGATAGTTCTCTCTTGAACACTGTGAGGGGTCGGCCAGTTATGTCCCTTATGTGTAGGGGAAGCGTGTTGAACAGTCTCGGGCCTCTGATGTTGATAGTTCTCTCTTGAACACTGTGAGGGGTCGGCCAGTTATGTCCCTTATGTGTAGTGGAAGCGTGTTGAACAGTCTCGGGCCTCTGATGTTGATAGTTCTCTCTCAGAGTACCTGTTGCACCTCTGCTCTTCAACGGGGGTATTCTGCACATCCTGCCATGTCTTCTGGTCTCATGTGATGTTATTTCTGTGTGCAGGTTTGGGACCAGCCCCTCTAATATTTCCCACGTGTTTATTATTTATCTCTTCCGCCTGCGCTCAAGGGAGTACAGATTTAGGCATTTTAGTCGGTCGCAGTAGTTTAGATGTTTTACTGAGTGGATTCTAGCAGTAATCTAGAACTACTCTAGTAAGAGTAAAAGTACTCTATTCTAGAAAACTCTAGTAATCCCACTAGAGTTCATGTCTCTAAAGAGTCGGTCACCTAGAGGGAAGAGTTCAGACAAAGAAGTTCACACGTGAACGTATTCATGAAAATTTTCAGATGAAAAAAATACTTCCACTAAGGTTAAAGTATTAAGGCAAGATGTTCTGCTATAAGGTAAGATGTCTCTGATATCAATCAGATATCTTCTGATATTAATTAGTAATTAGTCCTTTTCTTTTGAAACTACTCTAAACTCTTCTTGTACAAATTTGTTTTTAATAAATTATTATTATTATAACTATTATTGGCACAGTGATCTCCTCTCTATGACGGACATGTCAATCTTCCGGCAATATCGTTCAATTTTCTCCTCCTGTAAAGTTGTCATAAATTTACACATCAGACAACAAAGTAACCACAAAACAGAAAATTGTTACAGGGAATGGCTATAAATTTTACGAGCTTGTGGGAAGGGGGGGGGGGGACCAGCGTGTGTGTGTGTGTGTGTGTGTGTGTGTGTGTGTGTGTGTGTGTGTGTGTGTGTGTGTGTGTGTGTGTGTGTGTGTGTGTGTGTGTGTGTGTGTGTGTGTGTGTGTGTGTGTGTGTACTCACCTAATTGTGCTTGCGGGGGTTGAGCTCTGGCTCTTTGGTCCCGCCTCTCAGCCGTCAATCAACTGGTGTACAGATTCCTGAGCCTATTGGGCTCTATCATATCTACATTTGAAGCTGTGTATGGAGTCAGCCTCCACCACATCACTTCCTAATGCATTCCATTTACTAACTACTCTGACACTGAAAAAGTTCTTTCTAACGTCTCTGTGGCTCATTTGGGTACTCAGCTTCCACCTGTGTCCCCTTGTTCGCGTCCCACCAGTGTTGAATAGTTCATCCTTGTTTACCCGGTCGATTCCCCTGAGGATTTTGTAGGTTGTGATCATGTCCCCCCTTACTCTTCTGTCTTCCAGTGTCGTAAGGTGCATTTCCCGCAGCCTTTCCTCATAACTCATGCCTCTTAGTTCTGGGACTAGTCTAGTAGCATACCTTTGGACTTTTTCCAGCTTCGTCTTGTGCTTGACAAGGTACGGGCTCCATGCTGGGGCCGCATACTCCAGGATTGGTCTTACATATGTGGTGTACAAGATTCTGAATGATTCCTTACACAGGTTCCTGAACGCCGTTCTGATGTTAGCCAGCCTCGCATATGCCGCAGACGTTATTCTCTTTATGTGGGCTTCAGGAGACAGGTTTGGTGTGATATCAACTCCTAGATCTTTCTCTCTGTCTGTTTCATTAAGTACTTCATCTCCTATTCTGTATCCTGTGCCTGGCCTCCTGTTTCCACTGCCTAGTTTCATTACTTTGCATTTACTCGGGTTGAACTTCAACAGCCATTTGTTGGACCATTCACTCAGTCTATCCAGATCATCTTGTAGCCTCCTACTATCATCCTCTGTTTCAATCCTCCTCATAATTTTTGCATCGTCGGCAAACATTGAGAGGAACGAATCTATACCCTCTGGGAGATCATTTACATATACCAGAAACAGTATAGGTCCAAGGACTGACCCCTGCGGGACTCCACTTGTGACGTCTCGCCAATCTGAGACCTCACCCCTCACACAGACTCGTTGTCTCCTGTTGCTTAGGTACTCCTCTATCCACCGGAGTACCTTCCCTCTCACTCCAGCCTGCATCTCCAACTTTCGCACTAGCCTCTTGTGTGGCACTGTATCAAAGGCTTTCTGACAATCCAAAAATATGCAGTCTGCCCACCCTTCTCTTTCTTGCCTTATTTTTGTTGCCTGGTCGTAGATTCAAGTAACCCTGTGAGGCAGGACCTGCCATCCCTGAACCCGTGAGCGTGTGTGTGTGTGTGTGTTGTTTGGTGATGGTTTTAC